CCATTGTTGAAGCCACCAACCCATTCTAGAAGCCACCATTGTTGAAGCCTCCATTGTTGAATGAAGAATTCAACCACCAACCACCTTCTTTAAGGCTATAAATAGAGCCTTATGTTTTACACAGAAATATCAATCCAGAGAGATTGAAATACAATCCAGGAAGAGATTGTGAGAACAAAAAGAGAGTTTGGTGAGGTTTTTTTGTAGAGAGAAATTCTTGGTGTAAATTCTCTGTAATTCTATTCTTGTGAAATAGAGTTTTTTTTCCTCCCAAATAATCTTCATATTGATCCGAGAATCACAACAGCTCAGGGCATGTATTGTAAAAATATTAGTTCCTTAACTATAAAATTAAACCTCCAATTTGTTAGGTATGTTTTGAAAAATATTGACATGAAGATAGGATATACCCTACAGTAAATACAAGACCAACGAACCTAATCCATTTTAAAAGAAATAAAAAACTTTCATTACGCGGTAAAGGAAAGGAGAAAGGGTTCGTTAATGAGAATTGAACTCCTACCTGTTGCATGAAATACTTTCACATGTACCATTAGACTCTAAATTTTTGTGACCAATCATACTTTAATAACGAGCGATAATGATCTGATACGTCGACTTATGGGTAGAAGGAATTCGATTTTTGCAAGAATAGGTGAGAAACCACTGTTAGTTCTAATAAAAAGAGCGAGAAAAAGAAAAAAAGCATCTATTATTAGTTGCAGATCCAAAATTTTGGGTTTATAAATTCTGAATTCTAGAAAAGAATATATATATATATATAAAGTAAATTTCTCAGTATAAATACAGAATTTTGGCCAAAATTATTGAATTCTACGGAATTCATAGCTAGAACTCTAACTCCTAAAGCTTCTTCCCACAATCCTAAAGCCAGAGAAACCACGCCTACCAACTACAATTTGGCCCCAAAATTCCACCAGGGAGTGAAGAGGAAATTAAAGAGGAAATACTATGTTGCCGTGTGACTCCTCGTTATTTGCCCTTTCATACATAAACACAAGTATCTTCCATATTGTTGCATGGTACATATTTGTTGGAAACCATTAGTACAATCTACTCAAGCATAATTGGTACTGTAAGTTTGTCATGTATAGAATCTCATGAATAGTTGTAAGATTTTTGGCTGATTTTGGAGTACCTGCTACTTTAGTCAGCATGTTGCGATTAAAAAAACGAATGCAGTTATAACTGAATAACAAAGTGACTGATATTACTCACTCGGTTTCATTTTATGTAAAATTAAAGTGGCATGGAATTTAGTAAAAAAAAATTTGGAACCTAACCCTAAACATGTAGCGATATTTGTAGCTATAAAAATATCTCATTAAGAAAGTAAAAAAAAAAAAGAAGTTTATAATTAAAATTGTTTTCAAATATTGAAAGTTATCATTCTTTTCGGAACATATTTAAAAAAAGTGTATCAGATCAACTAGAATATATAATGTTAAGCATATTATTAGGGAGAGTGCAATGCTAGATTAAACGGGGCTATGGTCTATATGTTCATGAAAACAAATGAAGGAAGTTCATTACTAGCTATGAGCAGTAGCCATACGACCAACTTTACCACAATGAATTCTGGGGCGGAGCTACAATATTACTGATAGGTTATGGCAAATTCAGTAGCTTCTGTTTATAATCTGTATTTGTATTAGGAAATTCATTGAATAAAGTTATATATTTAATTGCGATCCAATAACTGAAATGAGCCATGAGTTCGGTAGTAAGTTCAGAACCCATAAACTTCAAATTTTGACTCATTGAATCGCTCATAATTCATTTTCCCATTAACAGAATATCCAAGAAGTTAGGTTCGTGGAATCTCATAAATCTTTTCTACTTGTGTCCTCATATATACTGCTGTTTTTTCTTCATTTTTTTTTTCTGATTTTCTTTCTCGGCAATGGCGAAGAATGTTAGATATCTCTTTCTTGATGAAAGCACCAACATAAGTTATTGCAAGCTACTAATTTTAAAAAGAAATATTTGGCAGATAGCTGCCTGTTTAACCTAACACGCAAACGTGCATTCATGGCCTATGGCTTCCCTCTATTCCTTTTCCAAAAGAATGTGTCATCTACAGCCACAAATATATTTAATAGCACGAGAATAGTACTGATCAAACTACCACTTTGTCTGCCCTAAATGTATTGCTTGTTCGTTCTATATCATATGTTATGTGACCTGTTCCCCACTTTTGGTTTTTTCTTAGTCACATGTTTGCTAGAGATAAAGATAAAACACAGATTAATATGCAAGATTAATTTCTTCTTTAAATGCCTCATACATGTGATGACACAATTAGATTCTTTAATTTAAAGATTACATTTTTATCTAGTTAAAAATATGACTTAGAGTAATTACTTTTTAGAATAAAATAATCATTGTTAGTTAGCGCCATATAAACTATTGTATGTTATGGACCTTAACGTAACTCAACCCCAATAACTTATGAGATGAGGATTGCTCAAAACTATACCAAGTCTCTCATATCAACTGCCGATTACCCCAAGTATCCTAGGTCTGCCAACTGGTGGACAGTATAATATGTGGACCCATTGGGTAAATCAAGAATTGGGATAAAAACCTAAAATTATGATAAATTTATCATTATAACCATATAAGAAAATAGATTTGAGCCTAACTTAACCTAAAAAATAATGGTTACATGAGACTATATGAGACAACCAAGTCCCTCCTCCACTACCAATGTGGGAATCTAACACACTCTTTAAAAATACTCCTATATTAATAGTTTAATAGTAGGTGTTGTTTAAATGTGTTTTATTTTTTTCTTAAATATCTCATTTAATTAATATCCCATTAATCGAATTGTTATTAAAAAAAGAAATAAATGACTTTTTATGTTTTTAAAACATTAAATATTTTGAAAAATAAAAAAATTAATATTATTTAAGATCAGAAATAGCAGATTTTATGCTCTTTGGAATTGTATTATTCCTTGGAAGGAACGAGAAAATAATGCCCCCTGCTCTGCATATGAAAAAATCACATGGCCGAGTGTAGTGCTAATTTAATTTTTTGCAAAGCATGTGGTACTATACCTACTGCAAATAAAAGAATAAATAAAAGCACGTGATTAAATATTGGGGTACAAGCTTCCAATACGTGATTCAGAAAAGATGCGTCTTATAACTGTCTTGTTCTTCAATCCACGCGTTAATTATGCTCTTATTCTCTTTTCTTTTTTGGCTTAGTATGGTTCAATTATTTCTTTAATCTTTAATAGTGGTATAGTTAGCGAGAAAGGGAGCCTTGGAGTAACTGGTAAAATCATGTGACCAGGAGGTTACGGGTTCGAGCCGTGAAAACAGTCTCTTGCAGAAATGCAAGGTATGACTGTGTATAGTGAACCCTTGTGGTCTGGTCCTTCCCCGGACCTCGCGTATAACAAGAGCTTATCACACAGAATTGCTTTTTTTTTTTTTAGTATAGTTAGTGGAGAACTAGAGTAAGCTATTATATAATGTGTCGTTTCCTAAGCATTATATAGAGCAAGCGTGAACGTGTATTCTTTTGTTATAATATTGAAATATCAAATTTGATCAATTCATATCCCCATCCTCTCCCATTGGTTTTCTATCTTCTCCATCTTTTTATCTTTATCTCAAGAATTCATCCCCTTTTTTTCCCATGGATCTTGAAACTTGTTGGTGGTTGAAGTCTTTTCATGCCTATTCTATCCTTATCTTCATCATATTTTCACTCTTCTCTCTTTTTTTCTATATAGTGAAGCTAAAACTTTGGTGCAATTGTGAAATTTGCCATGCTTATGTCACAACAAGTTGGTCCTCACAATTCACCAATTTGTGTGATTGGTACACTCACCTTCTTCAAAATTCACCTACAAGAACCATTCATATCCATGTTCTTGGTAATACTATCACCGCGAATCCTGAAAACGTTGAGTATATGCTTAAAACAAGATTTGATAATTACCCAAAAGGGAAAACTTTCTCTACTATCTTAGGTGATTTTCTTGGTCGTGGTATATTCAACGTTGATGGCGATTTATGGCGATTTCAAAGGAGAATGTCAAGTCTTGAACTTGGAAAAGTATCGATACGATCGTATGCATTTGAAGTGGTACATACTGAGATTCAAAAGAGGCTTCTTCCACTTTTAGCTAATAAAGAAGGTGCGGTTTTGGATTTTCAAGATGTTTTTAGGAGATTTTCATTTGATAATATTTGTAGATTTTCCTTTGGGTTGGACCCTAAATGTTTAGAATCTTCACTACCCATCTCAGAATTTGCTATTTCCTTTGACCTAGCATCAAAATTATCAGCTGAAAGAGCCATGACTACATCCCCTATTGCTTGGAAAATCAAAAGATTTTTAAACATAGGGAGTGAAAGGAAGTTGAAGAAAGCAATCAAATTGATCAATATATTAGCACAAGAAGTCATAAGACAAAAGAGAAAATTAGGTTTTTCAAATCATAGGGATCTTCTTTCAAGATTCATGGGAACAATAAGTGATGAAACTTATTTAAGAGATATTGTCATAAGTTTTCTCTTAGCTGGTAGAGATACTATTGCTTCTGCCTTAACAAGTTTCTTTTATGTAATTGCAAATAATCCAAAAGTGGCTAAATCCATTAGAGATGAAGTTGATAGAGTTCTTGGTCCAAATAAAGATCTCACATGTTGTGAACAAATGAATGAGCTTCATTATCTACAAGCTTCTATTTATGAAAGTATGAGACTTTATCCTCCTATCCAATTTGATTCAAAGTTTTGTTTAGAAGATGATATTTTACCTGATGGGACTTTTGTCAAGAAAGGAACAAGGGTTACGTATCATCCTTATGCAATGGGAAGAATGGAAGAATTATGGGGTTGTGATTCTTTGGAGTTTAAGCCTGAAAGATGGTTGAAAGATGGAATTTTTTTTCAAGAAAATCCATTCAAGTATCCAGTTTTTCAAGCTGGACTTAGGGTCTGTTTGGGGAAAGAAATGGCACTTGTTGAGATTAAAAGTGTGGCTCTTTCGTTGCTAAGGCGATTTAATGTCGAATTAGCCCAACCATATCACATGCCACGCTTCTCTCCTGGACTTACCGCGTCTTTCAGGGGTGGCTTAATGGTTTCAGTGCGTGAAATAAGTCCATAGTCATCAAAGATGAATTCAGAATGGTTGTGATCGTTTATATATATACAGTAAGTCGTTTTTTTCCATGTGTATATGATTCGAGCAGAAAACAATGAATTCAGTTGAACCTACTAAGCTCACTCTTACTATATGTGGTATAGCATCTTCAAGCAACCCTAATCTTGGAAGGCCAACGTTTAGCAGTTTTTTGTGGTATGTTGAACCATTCATGGAGGGGACTCATGAGATCGAAACTTCAAGTGGAAATATTTTGACCCTCTCTTTTGGCCAAGCTTTTTTTATGTATGGCAATATCCGATTATTTGCCTTAAATGTGGTTCTCTGTTTAATCTATTATTTTTTGCATGATTGTACAAACGTTCTACTCACTTGTTTACACAAGTTGTGCAATTTATGTCGCTGATTGAAGATTTTGTATATATATGTACGTTGTAATTTGTAAAAGCTGTATAATATACGAGTATGTATCTTCTTGAACTGTTCTTCATTTTTCAGCAATGAACCACTACTCCGATTTCTACTTCTACATCCTCTGAAAGTTCTTAAAGTTGCATTTAGATTAATAGTAGGTTTTATGTAATTGTACAAATTTTGGATTTTACCAGTAAATTTCGTTCTTTAGAAAAGTGAGATGGCAAGTCACTATTTCACTCACATTTTACAATGCGAAATACGTTGAAATTGGCTTCTGAAATCCTTGCTCGAAGACGAGCATTCAGGACGTGGCCTAATAATCAATAAAGTGGACGTAAACGTTGTTAACAGGGTTTATTTTCTACCGATAGACAAAAAAAATGTGATTTCCTCCTGTCTACCTAAACCTTGATGGACACTAGACAAAGTCATCTGGTATCTATGCAGGTGGAAGGTAGCATGTACCCTCTTTACCCTAAAAACGGATAACAATTGAATTAATACATGATTTTAAGGACCGTGATTTTACTTGGCAGAAACTGAGAAAATATGTAAATTGATATTGAAATTGACTGCAAGTAGAAATAAAAGTAAACCGAAATAAATGTATAACTATGGCCCTCAAGCAGGGTCGCCCTCGAACCAACGAATATTCTACTGGAAAATATGAATAGAGTAACAGAGTATTGAAAGCTTAAGAGAAAGACAGTATATTGCTTTGTATTGCGTGAATATAATGCGTTTTACAAGTGATCAAACCCCATTTATATAGTAGGGGAATCCTACCTTTGATACAATTCTAAATACAGTAAGAAATTCCATGATTAACTAATTAATCGGCCTCTTCTTGATACGTGCTGAGATTTTTGCCGTAATCCTCGCCCGATCTTTCTGTTATTTGGCTCGTTAGGCTTCCCTCGATCTTGCTCGAACTCTATCCCGCTCAGTCTCGGTCTTGGCTGATCTCGATCTTGATCAGTCCCTGAGTCACGAGCTTGGCAATCTAACTTCGTGTCACAGTCCGGTATGACATGGGGTCAAACCTTGGCCTGCCACGCCCCGATCTCGATTAATCATACAAAATGTGCAAGCCCGATTTTGACCGTATACATAACCGATGTTTGAGGTGCACGTAACCTTTGCACATATCCACCATTATTGTAAAAAAAGGGAAGAAAAAGGTGTATTTGGAGACAGAATTCAAGGAAGAGAAGGACGACGAGACGAGAGAATTTTCCTTTAGAGGTATTCTAATTGAAATTGCAAGGAGAGTTTAAGAGCTATGCAGTTTTATAACTTTTTTCCTCCTGTAAGTATTTAAATTTTATCGAATCTAAATCGATAAAATCATTTGGACTATATTTAAATTCAAGATATATTGGTCCAAACAAATATTATGAGCTAATATAAGAGAATTATATATATAAGTCTAATATATAAGGATTAAATAAATACGTCTTAATCTATTGGGCTAGCCCATTTAATTGGGCTAAAGTGTTGAACCCACTTCATTAAGCCCAAGATGACATCTTCCTAGAGGCCCAGTTTGGTGCCACGTATCAAATGACGTGGCGCGCCAAGTCAAGCGGAAGAGCCAATAGGATAATGCCACGTGTCAAAATGACAAGGCATGTCCAGTCACACTAAAAGGCCAATGAAATCTCGTCACGTGTGCAAGTGACATGTTCTGGCCAATCAAATGCAACCATGTCACACTCCAATTTGATTGATCGGAAAGAGTTTGTTCTTATCATAACTCTTCCTTTCCACAACTATAAATAGGGGTCTTCATAACTCAGAAAAGACACCAGAAGTTATAACAAGAAGCAAGAAAGAGCTCGTGGATCAAACGCTGCAAAATCCTCCACAAGTTTCAAGCTTCAAGTTCAATTTCAAGAAATCAAGTTCAAGCTCAAGAACGAAGAACAAATCAAGTTCAAGCTCAAGAACGAAGAACAAATCAAGTTCAAGCTCAAGAACGAAGACTAAATCAAGTTCAAGTCCAAGAAATCAAGCTCAAGCTCAAGAACAAGATCATCGTTCGTGGCAACAAACATAGATTCAAGATCAAGTTCAAAGGCCCTTGAATTTATTTACCATTAAAAAGAAGAATCAGAGGATTCATAGATATTGTACACTCAAATATTCGAAATTAAATACTACGATTGTTGCGATATTTTTTGGTCTTGATTTTATTTTCTTGACACAAATTTATTGTCTACAAATTCTGGCACGCCCAGTGGGACAATCTCTACCTCTCATCTCAACTTTTCATTTACCAAATACCAAGAACATTGAAATGGCTTCAAAGAAAATCAACTCCGGTTCAACTTCCACCAAGGCTGCTAACTCCAGGTTCTATGCTGATGTGGAAAGCATCCTCGATGTTACCTTCGGAAGGTTCGAACCAGTTATGAGGAGCAAAGTAAGCTCTTTAGGACAACAAGCACCCCGAGTGTCATCCGCGTCAACCCCTGTTTTCGGATCTTCATCCTCAAAAGGAGCAAGATCTTCCACAAACGCATCTGAAGGAGGAAGCAATGTTGCTGAAAAGATCAAGAAAGCTCTTGCTCTGCTTGACCTCTCCGGATCTAAGCATTCTATTGTGAAGGAAGATGATGATGCTTCAAGCGATGGATCCTTCCCTCACCACATAGTGTGAGCCAATCAAGGATCAGTCTGTGTGAAAATCCATGCTACTCTCCGTAATCCACGACAATCATGCAAGCCATGGTGACAAACACTTCGTCTATGGAGGAGCAGTTGGCAAACTTGATAGAAGCAATCGCTGGCTTGACCAAATGCATGCAAAATCAAGAGGCTAGAATTGACAAGCTAACAGACAGAGTGAGAATCTAGATGNCTATGAACGAACTCTCAGAAAGTCGTGTGATGATCCAAGGATTCAACCAAGGGGGGCAAAGAGCGATAGGCGCGATCAGGCTGGGAATCACTATTGAAGATATGCAATCAAGTGCATGGGTGCATGTGATCGACGCGAAGACTTCATACAATGTTTTGCTTGGGAGGCCTTGGATACATGAGAATAAAGTTGTTCCATCTACCTACCATCAATGTTTGAAATACTACGAGGGTGAAGTCGAGAAGATGGTAGTTGTTGATAATGAGCCATTCACCGAGGTTGAGTCACACTTCGCTGATGCAAAGTTCTACTTGAAGAACCGCATTGTGAAGAAGCTGAAAGTTGATGATGGTATGAAAAGCAAGAATGACGAACCCATAACTAAAAGAGCTGAGGTGACTATTGGTAAAGCCAATGCTATTACTGAGGAGGTACCTGCCAACGTGAATAAATCTCATAAAGGGGGTATTGCGTCTTATGGAAAGAAAGTAAGTCTCGCGCTTCAATATGTCCCTAAAAGGAAGAAAGACGAGGGCGAATCATATAATCTCCAAACCAAGACGCTAAGGGAGTTAACTCTTCTGGTAAAATGAATTGAGGCAGTAAAGTTGCCCTCAAAATCGCTTGTAAGGTTTGTAGCCCAAAATCGTTTGCAGAATATGGCACTCCCTACAAAGCGAACAGATGAAGGTTTTGATCCTAACGCTTACAAGCTATTTGCAAAAGCTGGATACAATCCCAATGAGCCGTCAAAGTTAGGAAAGCTCCCATCAGAAGCTGCAATGAGGCAACCATATGAAGGTCTGGGATACAAGCAACCGTCACCAGTACGCATCTCAATAAGAAGGGCGAGTAGCAATTATATTAGTGTAGAAGACGAATCTGCCGCTTCTAACAGGCCTTCTATCTTTGATCGGCTTGGAAAATCAACTGTGAGAACTTCCTTATTTGATAGATTGGGTCCATTAAATAAGGGGAATAAGTTCCAGAGAAATTATGGAAATACAATAACACCCGCTTCACCCAAAATTTAGGAGATCTCTAAGGATTTCCAAAGTTTGGTTTCTTCTAGAATGAGGCGACAAACAAAACTTGTGGTTTCATGTGAAGAAGTACTGAAGGTAAAGCCATATACTGTGGTCTACACTAAGGAACGTGACGAATATGAAGAAAGTGTAGGTTCTTCGTATCATGTCACTGTACAAGGCGAGAATGGTGTTCCGTCTTCGATGGAGGATAATGCAGAATTGGAGCATGTTTCACCGTGTTATCACATATCCTTCAACGATGGGGACCCTCAAGAAGATGAAGATGCGAAAGATGCTCCACCTGAACTTGAAGAAGGAGTGAAGACGACAGTTGATGCCTTAAAAGAAGTCAACCTTGGCACCGATGAAGAGCCAAGGCCCACCTACCTAAATGCTTTACTAGAAGCTGATGAAGAGAGCACTTATATTGAGTTACTCAAATAGTTCAGGGATGTCTTTGCTTGGAGTTATAAAGAGATGCCTGGCTTGGAACCGAAAGTAGCAATCCATCACCTTGCAGTTAAAAATGGTGCTTGCCCTGTTAAACAAGCTCAAAGATGTTTTAGGCCAGACTTGGTTCCCTTGATTAAAACTGAAGTTAACAAACTCATCGAAGCTAGATTTATTCGTGAAGTTAAATACCCAACATGGGTTTCAAGTATTGTGCCTGTAAGGAAGAAGAATGGCCAGATTCGAGTGTGCGTTGACTTTAGAGATCTCAATAATGCATGTCCGAAAGATGAATTTCCGCTTCCTATTTCAGAGTTGATGATCGATGCTACTACTGGTTACGAGGCAATGTCTTTCATGGACGGTTCATCGGGCTATAACCAAATATACATGGCACCAAAAGATGAAGAACTTACTGCATTCCGTACTCCAAAGGGTATTTATTGCTACAAGGTAATGCCTTTTGGCTTGAAG